CCAACACTATACTGGAATACATAAAATATCTTAAAAAAAAAAAAAAAAAGGACCAGCCAAATAGCTCAGCAGATTAAAGCGCCTGCAAGCAGGCACAGGGGCTGGGTTTGATCCTGGGCCTGCTGTGCTGGCCCTGCTCCCGGGGGCATGCTGAGCTTACAATTGAGACTGGGCGTGGTGGTGCAGGCCTGTGATCCCAGCTCTTGGGAGGCCATAAACAGGTAGATAACTTTGAGTCCCATCTAGTAGTGAGACCCTGAACACTGTGTAGATCATTCCCTAAAATATAAAAATAAAAAATGCAAGGAGCAAAGATAAGGAGTTCATAAAACTGGGAAAGGATCATTGCACATGAGCAGATAGCTGTTAACAACCAAGGAACCCAACAGAGCTGTCAGAGCAGAGCATTTGGAAGACTGCTTTGAATTAGGCAGCATTGTTAGAAGGGGGTCCATTCTGATTTTAGTTTAGCGAACCCCACTGCAAACTCCAGACTGCCAGAATTTTTTGATTTGTTTTGTTTTGTCTTTTTGAAATGGTCTAGCTATGCAGTTCAGACTGGCCTTGAGCTCACTTTGTAGCCCAGGCTGGCCTTGAATTTACAAGGCTCTGAGTTCTGGAATTACAGGCATGCACCACCACACCCAGTTTCAGACTTCCCAAATTGTGTTGTGCTGTTTTGTTTTGCTTGGTCTTGTGCTGTTTTGAACAAAGGCCTTGTGCATACTGGATAATTGCTGCATCACTGAGCTACTCCCCTACTGCGCCCCCCATTTTTTTTGATTTTTTAGTCTCCTTTTTCTTCAATACTAAGAATTGAATCCAGGACCTTTGCACTGAGCTACAGCCCCAATCTTTTTTTTTTTTTTTTAAGTGCTGGGGCTTGAACTCAGGACCTTGCACTTGCCAGGCGGGCGCTTATGCAAGACAAGAGCATCTCAGAAGTCTCTAAAGTGCCCAGGTTTGAATTCGTAATCATCCCTCAGCTTCCTGGAGTGCTGGAATTATAGGCATGAGCCACAACACAGCTGTATTTTCTTGTTGTTGTTTTTTTAAATTAGTATAATAATTATACATATTTAAGGGATACAGTATGTATTTGTATTTGTATTCCAATACACAGTATTGTATTCCAATACACAGTAAAGATTGAATCAAGGTATTTACCTGTAATTGAGTGCTCAGGAGCCTGAGAGTTTGAGACCATCCTTGGCTACGAAGTGAGCTCAAAGGGCCAGGGAGATGGCTCAGTGGAATAAGCACTTCCCTGGCAAATGCAAGGGGCTGAGTTCAATCTCCAGTTCCACCAAAAAAAAATATCAAAGTGAGCTCAAGGCCAGCCTGGACTGATTGCATAGGGAGACCTTTAAAAAGGACAAAAAAATAAAATAAAATAAAATAAATCAAGGTATTTAGCATTTCTGTCACGTAAACATTTCTTTCTTCTTCTTTTTTTTTTTTTTTTCCTTCTTTTTTTTGCAGTACCAGGGATTGAAATCAGACCCTTGCGCTTGCCAGGGAAACACTTATTCCACTGAGCCATCTCCCTCGCCCCCACCAGGCTGGCCTTGAACATAAGGCTGGAATTACAGGTGTGCCCTACCACACGCAACTTTGTTTTTTGATTTGGTTTCGTTTTGGGTTTGTTGTTGTTTTTGTCTTTGTGAAACAGGCTGTCTCTATGCAGTTCAGGCTGGCCTTCAGCCTCACTTTGTAGCCTAGGCTAGTCTCTAATTTGCAACAGTCCTCCTGCCTCAGCCTGCCTGTGCTGGAATTACAGGTAGGCATTCCTCACCACAGCTCGGCTTGGTTTTGTTTTTTTGAGACAAATTCTCACTATATAATTTAGTCAGGACCTGAACTTAACTATGAAGTTAAGCCTGCCTCAAACTCTTAGTAATTCTCCTGCCTCAGCATCCTGGGCTAAAATTATTTGATCATTACTTATATCACTGTATCCCATAAGTTTGTATAATTAATTAGTTAAAAAACAAGAAAATGTAGCTGGTTATGGTGGCTGATGCCTATAATCCCTGCACTCTGGGAAGCTGAAGCAAGACTTCTAGCTAACCTGTTTTGTTTGCACCGTTTGGTTGTTTGTTTGTTTTTAACTTTCTGCAAAGCATTATTCCAGAGGGGCTCAGTCTGTCCTGGCAGCTGCCTTCCTCATGGCGGCCAGCACGTTTCTCAGCTCCTCATGCTTCCTCTTGGTGAGGATGTGTGTCCCCACCCTTTTCTTGGTGAACTTTAGGGCATGCTTGTCCTTGGAGACCTTGGGCAGCTCTGTAGTTCGCACACCTCCCAGATTATGTCCCGCAGGAACTTGGTGTGTTTAGTGAGGCATCCATGACTGTGGCTGTACCTCGGTTTGCTCACATTCTTAGTCACATGTGGCCCTTGTTGAGGCCCATGGCCATGGGACATCGTAGGGCTGTGACTACTGTTTTTCAGTGGTTGCTGTGGTGGTAGTCTAGTTTTTGGATGTTTTTTGTTTTTTCCCTTTGGTAATGGGGATTGAACTCAGGACCTTGTGCTTTCCAGGTAAGCACTTATTTTACTGAGCTATCTCCATGGCCTGGTTTTTTTTTTTTTAATTTTATTTATTTATTTATTTGTGTGTGTGTGTGTGTGTGTGTGTGTGTGGCCAGCTCAGCCCACCAGGGGGCGGGGCTGGCCGGC